TAGATCCAAATAAGTTTGATCAATTCGCATTGACAAGGTGTCGAAAATATCAGTAGATCTTGATAAAAAAGTTGTAGTTTCTAAACCTACTCAATACGAATATGAGTAGTGTAGCCGAAATTGAAATTCATATCTGCTTTGTGGCCTGGGCGCACTAGCGGCCGAGTAATGTACTATTCCAGAGTATGGGATCAAGTCCCGTTAAGGCGGTTCGAAACTAGAGACCCCTTTGGAAAAGAATGTCTTTTAGGAAGCAAGACTTGTTAGATTTAGTGGAAACTTGAGACTCACTCACATAATTATGTGAAAATTCAACTATCAATCCTTCATCACCTGGTGACCTAGGGTAGATACAATTCTTGATTTGGTTTTATACGCAAAGAAAAGATGGGTATTCGAGGAATCGCTTGTTTCGAAATGGTTGAGCTCGCCTACGTTTCGAGTGAAAGTATGTGGCGAAAAGATTCGAAGGCCGATCCCACCAGAAGACGACAGAAAATGCTTTTTGGCCAACATTCTTGGGGATGCTGTTTCCGAGTTAATCTCGTTCGATTCCGGTGAAAACGTGCTAAGCTTTTGTCAGTCGTACAGAAAAAATCGTCAGATCAAGATATCATACATACATGTGAGTGTGTATGTATGTATGTATTTTTTTGATTTTTTAAGAAAATTGATATACCACTTTTTAGGCATTTGAGTTGAGTGAGTTTTCTTGACACACTTTTCACCGGAATCGACCGAGATTGCCTTCGACCTTCGAATCTCTTCACGCAACACTTTCACTCGAAATGAAAGTAAGCTCAACAATTTCCGAAACGTGATGCCATCCAGTACTTTCCCAAATTGGAGGTTATGTTAGATCTTTCAGTACACTCTTGACATACAAGACAGTCTTTAGTTTTTTTTTTTGCTTGATTGAGGTGAGTTGTTGCATTCAAGTGCAATTGCAAAAGGGTGATTGACTGGCATCATGAAAACTGGTACCTCTGCTGCCCGTCTAAACCTGCAGAAAATCCGCATTCGGCTAAAGCACATCTGGACAGTGATACTGACACTCCTCATTCCGCGTAGTCATGGCTGCCAGGCCCCAGCAACAAGACACGGTCTGGTCACTTATCGTATCACATACCAAATAACTCCTGTCTACCCGGACAGTTGTTTCACCATGCGCCAATCGTCTACAGCCGGAACAAGCAAGCGCCACACGTCATCGAGTCGAGGGAGGACAGAAGGACCAAACAACAGAACGGATATGGAGGCAGGTGGACGCAGATGCCAGTCACATGTAGGGAGGAAATCACATTTGTTCAACTGCATTCATATGCACCTATTGCAAGCGGTAGAGACAGGCAGACTTGCAATTAATGCAGCGAATCGATCGCAAATGGGGTCTCAGAGGAGGGCCACAGGGTACCAGATAGGAAAAACTTATGCGCAAGGACTGAGACGATGAAGGAGTGGAAAAGGAAGAAGCAAGTCCAATCTTTGGTCGAGGTGGCCAGGCGATGCTGTAGCAGATTGTGTAATCTTTTGAGTTTATTGGCATGTTAAGTCAATGAAGTCAATTATTCATTTGGAAACGGCTCTAATGAGGACAAGCAAACCGGTTAACCGGAATTCGAGGGCGACAAAAGAAAAAATGATAGTCGGAAGACTCGAACCAAATGGGATTAAACAGTGATTTTGCTGCAAAAAAAGTCCTTATTTAATGAGAAAATTAGTTTTATTAGCAAGTCGATCTACCAGACCTTGATAACAAAGTGTTATAAAGACTTTATTAACTGATAAAGTTCTCATTAAATGTTTATGAAATGGTCTTTCGAAAAAGGCTGGCAAAATAATTAGGAAAGGATAAGCACTTTCGCTTCAATCAAGTATTCCATGAATAAAGCAGGTCCGATTCCAGGTTCAA